CACCCACGCCCACACCCACACCCACACCCACACCCACACCCACACCCCGCACAATCGCTAACGTTGACGAATTCTTCTGGTAATTTTCGATTAAATAAGTTGGTGCCTTTCAGTTTGTCTGTTCGAATATCATACAATGATCCAATATCTCCAAATCGACCAACTACTTGCCGTTCAACTTCACCGTTTGAAGCCATGTGCTAGAATATATTTTACGTTCCAAAAAAGTTTACAATGAAATTATAATAATGATCCACTCTGCTCTTTTTTTTCTAGTGCCTCATATAATTTCTCTGTTGCTTTAACTAGTAACTTAAGTTACTAGTTGAGCAGTCAGGGCGGACATAATCCATGAGATGATCTATCATTGTAGCACGTGGCTTCCGACAAAGTAACATATATTTCGAGATAGTGAGTGCGGGTGTGAGTGTCAATAAATAAGAAAGCTACAACCACACCCACCCTATTTGTGTCTATTTTATTTTTCTCTTTTTTTTCAAATCGACTAGTAAAGTATTCTTTTAATAAATTTCAAGAATATCTACTTTTTCGATTAATAAAAGCCTTCTAACACTGCCGTAGGTTATATCTTTATAAAAGTACTATCTATTTAAATTTATTTCAGTAGCAATTTTCTGTCTTTTACTTTTTTTTTCCTGATATTGAAACTTATTTTTGTCATTTAATCGAGTTTGTTTATTTATTCAGACATTTTATAAATTAATATTGTTAACAACAAAACTCTTTAAATTCTTAATCCTATGATCTTTAAGCCAAAGATTATCTTTTAAAAGTCCGTAATTGACATTATGATTAATCTTCAAAAAGACATTTTTTTCTGCTAATAAAGCGAGTAATTCACCAGAAAACCTATTCGTAACTTTATCATAATAAAAATGTTGGAAAAACTCACTCATAGTTGAACTTCTATTAGTTTCTAATTTAGAAAATGTTGTTTCTGTGTCTGAAATCTAAAACCAACTATTCCAATGAGTTTCCTTTTTCTTGAGGATAATAAAGAAATAAAATTGATCTGATATTAAATATATTGTAAACTTCTTGCTATTTTTCAAATTCTAAATTAATTTCCCGTACTTTCAGGCTTTCTTCTGAGACAATATTGTACATTGCCTTCATGTGGTAACAACAGGCAAGTTTGATATTCCATAACTTGTCGCAATGGTACAATTAACTCTATTTATAATTCATATTCGATTAATTTATTTTGAAAATCTTCTCAAGCTGTATTTTTCAGTTGGTTTATGTGATTATCCGTTGACCGATAGAATTGATTTCTGAATTTCATTCATTTGTTTCAGATAAAAATTAAAATATAGATATGTCATAAATTGTTTAGAGTTTCATTTTCGATGCAAGTAATTATTATCAGAGCAGTTTCTAATATGTTTATTGCAGAATCAAACCTGCTAGGAAAATTCCTAGAATTTTCTTTTCCTTGAACTTTTATATCACAAATGTGCAATAGCTCTTTTTGTAAATTCTCTTCAAGTTTCATTCTGTTTCTTTGTAATGCATAATAGTATTTAAGGTTGATAGATGCGTGACTGCGTTGTAATTATGGCTCTCTAGTAATACTTTCCATTTCATTCGTATTTTATTTATTTTTATCAATCTATTCGCTCTTCTCATAAATTTGAATTTTAACTAAACGACCATTGTTCATAAAATAAATCATATATTCATCTTCTTTGTTAGTGCGAATCAGTACAAACGCGTTCCTGGAATAGAACAAAGTTTTTCTGTTTCATCATTCAAGGTCAAATAAAGATCACAAACTGAATCTAAAAAATATCTTGATAATTTTACGATGTTAATTTTATCAACTATTTGATGTTCACGATCAAATTAATTAAGAGATTTTTCTATGTATCTCTTTACTGAAAGGAAATTGTCTTTAATTACACCTCCACCATAATATTTGTAATTGACATATATGATATCATTATGAAGGTTCACAATCATATCTATATAACCTGACTCTTGCCAATATCTTCAACGATTTCGGAACAAATGATAATCTTCACTAAATTCGTCTGATAGTATTATAGTTCACTCCTTGATTGTGGCAGGTTTATCTTTGTTTCCGACCTGAGACAATCATTCTTTCCAAATATGTCTTTTTGCAATGCATTCTTCACCCCTTCCTTCTCTATTTTTTAATTTTTATCTCCAAAATACGAAATTATTATTATCAAAAAGATAAATCTTTATGTCAAAATAAGCTATGACTTAATACATAAACAAATAATTTTTTTTTCAATGGCTCGAGAAAAAGATGGTAGTCGATTCGATCTACCGGTCCAAGCGTATAATCCCCCGCGTTTCAGTAATAGAAAAATGTTTAAAATGGTTAACAGAGAGAGAGGATAATTCGATTCTCACAATATCGGACAATGAGGTAGCACTACTCCACAACCATCCCGGTTCTTTTTTATGACTCCGTTTTTTTTCTTCTTCTACTCCTTTTCTTTATTCGCTCCTTTTTTGTTGATTTTGTTTGTTCCATTGCTAACTTTTGTTGTTACCTTTCTTATCTTTCATTCTCCTTTTTATTATCAAACATAGAAAGTGTAAACGTGATGTATTAACGGGCCGATATGGCATTAATTCCCCCAAATAAAGAAGCGCAACAACACAGCACAAATAATATTTTTTTATCTAACAAAGTATTATTAATAAAATAAGACGTAAATGATCGAGCAAAAAACTATTTCAGAAGAAACTGTTCAATTTAGACATAGAATTGAATCAACCTAGTCTTAGATTCTATTTATAAAACTATTTATAGAAATGTTTAAAATCTTACCTTTTTATTGTTGAAATTTCGTAGCACAGAATAAGATATAATAAATATAATATACCGTGTAATTAGATTCCTATAGTTTCTTTCCAAATATTGTAATATACCACTATTCTACAAGTTAACATAAAATATGTAATCCTAATGGTTTTTTTTTATCAAAAATACCCGAAGCGTAGTCACAAACTAAAAGTAGATTGATTCAGTCGTTAATGGGAAAGAAAGGAAAAAGAGAGAAGATAAAACTAGTATCAGCGAGAAAAAAAAACAAACATATCATACAAAAAAACGTCTATTCAGAAATGAAGTCATGATATTTTTGCTCATTTTGAAAACTCTCTTACGTCATCTTAGGAAGTCTTGCATATAAGCCACGATCGACAGTAAATCGATCTTATTGATTTGACTAACATTTTCAAAGTATGTAGACGCAGTAAGCTGAGAAAAAATCGAAGTATTTCAGCATGAAGAAATACGCCGTTCGGTAAATACAGTTGTTACAACCGTAGATACTCTACTGAATGTAAAGTATCTTACGAGGCACCACTTTCCAGTGAATCTTCACCTTCTAACGGGAGCAAAAGTTAGAGTAGAAATATCGGCTAACTGATAAATTCAAGTTTGCACAGAAATATAATTTTAAAAATAACACAAGTCCTTCAAGCTGTCACAAAAACGATTAAGCTCTGTTGAATTCTAATTCTAATTGAGACAAACACTTAACCTTAAAAAGAAACAAATACATAAGAGATAAGAAAGAATCCATGGATTTCATATTAGAGTAGAAAACAAGTTGTCGACAGTGGATCATTTGAAAGATTGAATTTTCGAAACTGGATTGAGCTATGTTATTATTTAAATGATCCGTCAAAAAAAAGGTGTCGCGGCTTGGACAACATTGTTATACCAGCTTATAGAATGATGCATACGAGGCATTCATAATTTTAGCAAGACTACAGATAATTCAGATATTTGCAAAATTTTTCGAAGATCAACTATTTGATAACTGATTAACAGCGCTAAAATTGATGATAGGGTTCATCTATCTCGTACCTATAATAATTCTAATGAATATCGTAGAGAAGCCTGTACAACACAAATATTTTTAATCATACTCGGTTGGTACCTCCCGTATTATCTTGTTTGTTCATCCTCGCTGAAGAGCTCTACTACGGTTTGAGTGTGGATAGTTCTTTTTGCTCAAGAACTCACATTTTACCTCGTCGTCTATCACTTTTTGTCAGTATTAAATGAAATTTTTAGGAGGCATGACTAAATTGATACAGATGTCGTTTTTCACAAGTTTCTGAAATTAAGCTTTAAGCGAAAAATATTTCTTTACATAAACGAAAAAGATAGAATTCGCCCTATCATTGTTACTATCGAAATTAAGCATTTGTTCTCAATTATTAGATTCACATAATTTAGATGAAACTTATCATTCTCAGAAATCTCTATGTTGTGAATTTCGACTCATTTGAACATTCATGTGAAAGAAAATTGCCTAATATTTGCTTTCTCTCGTAATATGTCATATTGATTTCACTGATGTTTTCACATGACAGAATGTCAACATTGGACTTTATTCCACGATAGTCTAAATTAATCCGCATAGCACTACTTGCGACCACTGTATCCATACAAGGGTTTAGCTGTTGGTGTTGAAATACTTTGGTTCTTCCTCATTTGACTAAATCTACTTGTTGTGAAAATAACAAAAAAATCGATAATGTTGATTAAGCAATGTTGACCTCGGCTTGTATGCGAGCCCGGCTCAGAGAACGAGAGAAAATCTGTAAAATTTCGAAAAACTCATGACTTCATTTATGAATAGACTCTTTATTCTTACAATTTTTTCTTTCTTCTCTGGTAATAGTATATCTCCCTTTTTTTCTCTGTTGTCTCTCTCAGGCATACATATAGCAAAAAAGTACGTCTCGCATACTAATGAATGCCGTTAAAAGCAATATCCAAAGGAGCCATATATCACTATACTGCTCGATACACAGATGATGTGGTGTTGTAATGAGACTATTAATCATATGTGATGCAAAATAACAAAAATATGATATGGTATGCAGTACCGTGTTACTTGAATCAGAAGTACTAGAAAAATACTCAGTTTATTGCTTTCACGTTAGCGTTCTAATAGAACACTGAATTATTTGTGCATCAACCAATATGATGATATAAGACCTGTTGACATGATGCATATTCATTGGGCTCACTCGTATGCGAGGTATACTTTTTTGCCATATATGTGTCCGGTAGACGAAAGAAAAAAAAACAGGAGAGGCACTATAATCAAATTGCAAAGAAGAAAATGGGCCATATAAATATTATCTCGACATTTTCATTCTTCGTTATTGATCATAG